TGGGAACTATATGTGATCCCAGGGCTCAAACCTGGGCTGTCCACATGGAAGGCAAATTCCTTACCCTTTGTACTATCTCTCTGGCCCCTCTAGGCTGCTTTTAGTTCCTTTGCAGATGTCTATGGTATATGTCACACACCCAGATACTTATTATACACGTATGATCATAGTTTTTTCTGCAGTTCTACCTTGGATTTCTTTTTCTTTTCTTTTCTTTTCTTTCTTTCTTTCTTTCTTTCTTTCTTTCTTTCTTTCCTTTTCTTTTTTTTTTAACAGCATTGAGCCCATGTCCTCGTTCATGCAAGGCAATTACTCTACCACTGAGCTGTATCCTTGGACTCTAGCATGGCCTTTTCCACTTAACAGATCAGAGCAGGACAGCTTTTCCTGTTTTGCAGGGAGACTTAAGACTGGCTTTGAAGCGAAAACGTTTCCTTGTGAAGAGATAAAAAGCTCTCCTGCTGGCCCAAAGGACTACTCCCACAGGAGCCCCAGGCTCAGTCTCGGGCACTGCCCGGTCCCCCAAGCACTGCTGGAAGTGATTTCAGGTACTGCTGAGTGCGAGCCCATGCTACTGCCACTCTTCCCCCAGAAAGGGCCCTCACAAGCTTGTGCCTTAGGTGGGGGACTAGTTTTCCCTCCCTCATGCTTAATCTAACTGCCCATGATCTGCTTAGATGAAGTTTTTCTTCCTACTAGTTTTGTTTATTTGTTTTTGGGCTACATCAGCTGTGCTCAGTGCTTCCTCCTGGCTCTGTGCTCAGGGAACACTAATGATGGGGCTCAGGGGACCACCTGGGATACCAGGGATGGGACCTGTATTGGCTCTCTGCAAGGCAAATGTCCTGCCTTCTGTATTGTCTCTCCAGCCCCCATCGCAGATATTTTTGGCTGCCATGCTCAGAGCCCTCCCCCCCCCATTGTGTGTTTCAGACCTCTTAAGTGAGGGGGCAGTGCTTCTTACAGTAGCTTGTAGTGTGGTGCTGTCACCTGCTTCTCCTGTATCAGATTGACTGTGAAGTGGTCACAAAGGGTCACAAGTATGTCCCACTGGTGGTCAGCTTCATCGTCCAGTGATCAGGGAAGCAATTATGTTGATACTCAGGGGTCTAGTGCAGTCTAAATGTTGTGTGGCATTGTATCCTATACATGCTCTACTTTTATTTAGCATTGCTGTTGTGAGTATGTTATTTCTAATACTGTGGTATGGTAAATACTCATGTAAAATATCACTGTCACTGTCCTCCCATTGTTCATCAGTTTACTCAAGCGGGCCCAGTAACGTCCCCATTGTGAGACTTGTTGTAACGGTGTTTGGCATATCGAATATGTCATGGGGAGCTTGCCAGGCTTTGCCGTGTGGGCGAGATATTCTAGGTAGCTTTCCGGACTCTTCGATAGGGGTAGAGGAATTGAACCCGGCTCAGCTGGGCCGTCCGCATGCAAGGCAAACGCCCTACCGCTGTGCTTTCACTCTGGCCAATGTAAAATATATGGTTTTAAATTTTGCATTCTTAGAAGTGAAATTCCTGGCACATAATAGGACTTATTTGCTGCAAATGTTCATTTTGCCGTTCTGTTCCTGATGAGTGTATACATTTACCCTTCTGTCAGTGGTTTACTTTTGAGTGTTTTAGATAAGAGATTTTAAATTACCTGGTTCATATGTCACTCCTTTTCTTTTTTTTTTTTCCTTTTTTGGTCATACCCAGCAATGCTCAGGGGTTACTCCTGGCTCTGCACTCAGGAATTACTCCTGGTGGTGCTTGGGATCCATATGGGACGCCAGGGATCGAACCCGGGTCAGCCGTGTGCAAGGCGAACGCCCTACTATCTGTACTATCCTCCGTCCCTCCCTTTATTTATTTGTTTGTTTTTGGGCCATACCTGGAGGTGCTCAGGACTTACTCCTGGCTCTCTGTGCAGGGGTCACAGAGAACCAGGGGTCCTGGTGGGGTTTGGTACCATATGGGGTACTGGTACTCAAACCCATTTCTACTACTTGCAAGGCAAGTACTCTGCCTGCTGTGCTATATTCCATGAATTTTTGGGGGGGTTCAGTTTGTTTGGGGGCCACACTGGGTGGTGGTCAGGGCCTCCTGGCTTTGGTTTTGTGTTAGAGGGTTCGAGGGCTGTTCCCAGTAATGCTCAGGGGAACTGTGTGGTGCTGGGGATTGAAAGCCAGGCTCTCCCTTTGAGCTCTCTCTGACAGTGAAGTTAATTCTTTATCTTATCTTTTCTTCCTTTTTTAAAAATCATGTTTCTTCTTATCTGTATCAGAACTTATCTTATCTGTACAGAACAGTGAGTTCTGGGTTACAGAAGAGGATTTAGTCTCAAAGTCTTTGTTCACACGTCAAACAAACACCCACACAGAGGCTGAGAAGTGATATTTATTTATTTATTTTAGGGTGTTTTGTTTTGTTTTTCTTGTAGAATCACTGTGAGATACAACTGCACAGCTGTCATGATTGAGTTTTAGTCACACAGTGATCGATCACCCATCCCTCCACCAGTGCACATTTTCCACCACAATGTCCCCAGTATCCCTCCCACCACCCCCACCCCACCCTACCCCACCCCACCCCCTGCCTCTGTGGCAGGCAATTGAGTAAGTGACCCCGTAAGACCCCGTAAGTGGTCTTTTTTTGGTTTGTTTTTTGTTTGTTTGTTTGTTTTGCTTTTTGGGTCACACCCAGCAATGCTCAGGGGTTACTCCTGGCTTTGCACTCAGGAATTACTCCTGGCAGTACTTGGGGGACCATATGGAATGCCGGGGATCGAACCCAGGTCAGCCACATGCAAGGCAAACACCCTACCGGCTGTGCTATCGCTCCGGCCCAGGTCTTTGTGCCCTTGTCAACAATAAATTAGCCTCATGAGTTGATCTTCCATTTCCCCTCCCCCTTCCTGATGCTGCTGCAGGATAGGCTGCACCTTGGATGCCCAAGGCCTACTCTGAAAGCATTTGCCAGTCACTGAACTCTCAAGTTCTGCTGCTTAGACACTCTTTTGGTGCAGGGCTCACAGATGCCTCTCGGCATGTGGAGCAGTGCTGGGGATCACTCTCCTTTTAGTGGTTTTGGGGCTTCACCCTGTTACTCCTGGCTCTGCACTCAGGAATCACTCCTGGCCGTGCTTGGGGGACCATGTGCCATGTCGGGATTGAATCCGGATTGGCCGCGTACAAGGCAAATACTCCTCTACCCTCTGTGCTCAGTTGCTCGTGCCTGGATCGCTCTTGGCCAGTGGGGTACTGGTGGGTGTTGAACTCCTGGCCTGCGGGACTATGGTGCTGTCCTGTAGTGCTGTCCCCCGGCCCTGCTTTTCAGTCCACCGCAGGAAACCCACTGGGATTGTCCTGCCCTCAGTCTTTGGTTTAAATCTTTAATCTCTTCTTGGTGTTTCACAACTTTCAGGGTACAGGTTTTGCTGTTTTAAGTTCATTCCAAAATATTTTATTTTTTTTCGTGTGCTTATCAATAGAATTATTTTCTTTTAAAAATATATACCTAAAAGTGTTTTTTAGCAGATTAACTTTTCCCTTCTCTTTGTTGTTGTTGCATTGACTGGGGGCTACCACTTAGTTGTGGTGCTTGCACACCTCTATAGTTGTGGTGCTCGGGGGGGGGGTCACACTCTGAAATGGCAGTTCTCTTTGTGGGGAAGGGGCATGGGGAACTGGGGGTGGTCACACACTTGAATCACAGTACTCACCAGGCGTCACACACTTGGTGGTGGTGCACCACAGAGGAATCACAGGAAGCTGGGTTGCAGGAAGCATCAGGACTCCCCTCCTCTCTTCTCAGCTCTCTCTCCTCTCCACTTTTGTCTCCTCCTCTCCCCTTTCCTCTTCTCTTCTTCCCTCTTTCCCTCTCCTCCCCTCTCCTCCCCTCCCCTCCCCTCCCCTTTTTCTCTCTTCCCTCCCTTCCCTCCTCTTTCCTTGCCTGTCCTCCTCTGTCCTCTCTTCTCCTTTTTCCTCTCCTCCCCTCCCTCTCATCTCCTTTCCTTCCTTCCCCTCCTCACCTCTCCCCTCTCTTCCAGGTTGACAGTACCTGGGGACCATGCCCAGCACTGTTCCGGGGTCTCCCGGACTATACCTGGCAGTGCTTAGAGGACCACGTAGTGTCGGGTCAAACGCAGCCCTCCCACATGAGATCATGTGCTTTAGCCCATTGAGCTATCTCCTCAGTCCCTGTGAATAATTTAGTTTAACAGAATTTTATTACTTTATTCATATCCCCCCCCCCCACCTTCCCCTCTATTGATGTGACACGTCTGGGGTTGCGTGCCTGGGGTGTGCACCTTGGTTGTGTTCGTATACACCTGGCTGGGCCGTAACTGGAGATCACAGACAGCAGATCTGCTGGGCACAAGGAGCAGAGTGGCTTGGGCTGTACTTGGCACCTGTGCTGGCATGAGGCATCGAACTCACCATGCCACTGGGTGCTTGGCCATCTCCTGCCCCTCCCTCTCCCCTTGGTCCATTGGTGTCTTGTGCCAGCCAGGCACTTGGTAGATTCTGGGATGTTGTCTTAGTTCACTCCCACACACAAAGAGGTAGCGGGGGTCTGCTTGCTCCTCCGTGGAAATGCTCATGTGCTCTCTTCTTTTTTGTTCTTGTTTGTTTTGGAGGCCACATCCAGGGATGCTCAGGGGTCACTCTTGGCTCTGCACTCAAGAATCTCTCCTGGTAGACATGGGGGGACCATATAGGATGCTGGGGGATCGACCTCTGTACCACCTCTCCAGGTCACTTGCTTTTTTCTTGTACAGCTAAAGGTGATTCCAGCTAACAGGGTGTAGTTGCTTTACCTCATTTCCACTGGCCTTCTGAATAGTAAAATTGGCTATTTCAGTCTCTTGCCAGTGACATCATGTATTCCAGCAAATGGCATTGTCCGTCGAGGTGCTAGCCACAGAGCTTCCAAGGACCCAGCAGTGACACGGCAGATTCAGGCGTGGTGTGCATCCTGCCGGGCGGATCCTGAGCCTCCGCGATGCCTCCGGGCAGGTGGCACGCCGTCCGCCCCGCCCAAGCCCAGGCTCTGAGGGAGCGGGGCCGACTGCAGCCGGTCAAGAAGGAAGACGATGACGACGGCTTCGCGTCCGTGCAGGCCGCCAGGCCACAGACGCTCAATCGGCCCGGCCAGGAACTGTTCCGTCAGCTCTTCCGGCAGCTTCGCTACCACGAGTCCTCTGGGCCCGTGGAGACTCTGAGCCGACTCCGGGAGCTCTGCCGTTGGTGGCTGCGGCCCGATGTGCTCTCCAAGGCCCAGATCCTGGAGCTGCTGGTGCTGGAGCAATTCCTGAGCATCCTGCCTGGGGAGCTGCGCACCTGGGTACAGCTGCATCACCCTGAGAGTGGCGAGGAGGCTGTGGCCCTGCTGGAAGAGCTGCAGAGGGACCTTGATGGGACCCTACTGAGGGTGAGTGTGATGGGGGTGGGGGGCGCCCGCTGAACTCTGCCTGCCAGAGAGCTCGTGGGGAGCAGCAGGGGGTGGGCTTCTTTCTGCTTCAGCATCGCAGCATTTTCTTCCTGTGGTCCCTGAGCTGGACTCAGCCACAGAGCTTTGACAGGAAGCACTTTGCACCTTTCCAGAGGAGGATAAGCTCCAGGAGGAAGGCCAGTGAGAAGCCATACTTAATAGTAGGGACTTGGCATGCAGTGACTATCTGTCCTCGCCACTCTCCAGCTGGCCTGGATACTCGACCTGGGAGGTGGCGGTGGTGGGACGTGGTGGGCAGGGAGGGGGAGTGTGGTGTTCTGGCCAGGCCTGGGGCTTCTGTGTGCATGGCAGGACTTGAGACAGTGGTCTCTGTGCATCTTCTTCCTTGGGAGGCTTTGAGGATTGGTTCTGTACTGGGAAGGGGAGGGGGAGAATGCGGAGGGGGTAGCCAGGGGCTAGGAGGTGGGAAGATTTCCATCTTAACTTCATTTCATAGCCTCCGTTATTTGTGTGTGCTTCAGAGCCTGCTCATTGAACTGAGCATGCCGAGGCAATTTAGGGACAAGACTCGTGTTCAGGACGTGTTGGAGCATCTGTTGCCCGTGCCTGGCCCAGGCTGGCTGCTCTCCCAGCAGCCCCAGTGCCCAAGCTGTGGGTAGAGCAGAGAAGGTCAGAGTCACTCTTCCTGCCCCCCAGCCCAGGGAAGCTTCTCAGTACCTCCTCTGTCCTTGAAGTTTTTTGTTTTGGAGCCACATTTGACAATGCTCAGGGTTTACTCCTGCCTTTGCTTGGGGATCACTCCTGGCAGTGCTTGGGGGATCATGTGGGATACCAGGGATTGAACCTGGGTTATCCACAAGCCTTACTCACTGTTTTATACCTCTGACTCTGTTTGGAGGTGTTTTGGGCTTTTTTTTTTTTTTTTTGGTTTAATTCTCAGCACCCCTTATGATCCCTTGAACATTGCCAGGAGTAATTCCCGAGTGCAGAGCAAGGAGTAACTTCCTGAACACTACTGGGTGTGATTCAAGAACCAAAAAATGGTAAGTAGAGCATAAAACACAGGCTGGGAGAAAGCCTCCCAAATTCCAAAAAATAAACAGGAAACCTCAAGCTGCTTGTAGCTGACAGTTACCTGCTGTGTAACCAGATATCAGAAACAGAAAATGAGAGAGTTTGCTAAGGCTCTTTTGGCTGTGCTTCTGTGTTGTTTTTCATTCTTTGGGAGAAACTGGAGGCAGATAACTATGACCGTCATCTTTAGTCGGTGGATGAGATACATCTGGATGAGATACACCACAGCCTCAAGCTGATCTAAAATTTATATATCAGTGTCAAGAGTGTGTTGGCCTCGGGACCAAAACAATTCGAAATTTATTGGCTGTGACTTCATCATCATCAGGAGAGAGCCTGCTGAAGAGACCCGATCTATCTGAAATCCCAGGGAAAGTGCCATTTCTGTCCAGGGCACTGCTTGGTTGAGCACTAGCTTTTTTTTCTTTTTTTTTTTTTTTTGGTTGTTTTGGAGCCACACCTCGTAGTGCTCAGGGTTACTCCTAGCTCTGCACTCAGGAATCCCTCCTGGTGGAGCTTAGGGACCCATAAGGGATTCTGAGAATTGAACCTGGGTCGGCCGCCTACCAGGCAAGACCTTCCCCACTGTACTGTCTGTCCAGCCCCATGTTTTGACTGGAGACGTTTTCCCCTCTCTTGGTTCCACAGCTGGTCCTTGGGATTAATACTGCTATCTTGTTTTCCTTATCTTTTTGAGTCTGCACCTCATGGATGCAGTTGCTGCAGGCGCTGGGAGTTTAACCTAGAAGTAGACTTCCTATGAGCAATGCATATTTGAGCCATCTGTGTGACCCTAGCCTGGCTTCTTTAGTTCTATTTCCTGACCAGGAGCTGTTGTGCTGCTCTGACATCACTTTGCTCATCTTGAGTAGTGCCTAGTAGCCGTTACTCCACTGCGTTTCAGCTGGGAACTAGTACAAGTTCAATGCTTAGGGGCAAATATCTCTTCTTGGCAGTTCCAAGTTCCAGGTCCAGGGGGGAGAATGTTGCACTTTCTTAGCTCAGGCTGGAATGGCTCTGCCTCTCTCCTCTGGGGCCTACCCTGTGATGAAGGGTGGGTTGAGGGGTGAGGGACCCTCCTTGGGTTTTCTCTCCCTCCTTCCCTTCCCGTGTCTCGTTTTTCGGTGGCAAGGGCCTAGCTAACCTCTTTGTGGGCTTTGTTGCTTACAGTTGCGTTTGGATTACCCTAGGGCTCCTCTCATGACATTTCCTTTTTGGCAGGACCCCGCCCCTGCCCAGAGCCCAGATGTGCGTTGGATGGGGACAGGAGCCCTGCAGGCGGCACAGGTCTGGCCCCCTGCTTCACTTCTCAGGAGCAGCTCCGCTCGGGAGGACCACCAGGAGCCTCTCTCTGAAACGGGGATGCACGACTTCCCGGCTGGACCGTCTGGTACTCGTGGCCTGCCTCTAAGACCTCAGCCTTATGCCTCATGTCTTAGGAGTGGCCCATAATCTTATTTTTTCCACCATCTGTCCTGTCTTGTCCCTTTACTCTGTGTTCTTCCCCTTCTCTAGCCTCTGCCTGACTAGTTCCCCTTTTGTTGCACATCCCCGTGTCCCCCACTCTTTGACTCCCAGCAGACACTGTGAAATGGGGAGGTATACAGCCATCCAGATCTGTGTGTGGGCTGCCAGCCCTTCCTGGAGTTGGGGGAGTGGGTTTCTCGGTGGGTTGCCCTGGCTCATGGTTCTTTTTTTCTTTCAGAGCCCCCTGCTGCTCAGGTGCCTGCCCTGTTCCAGATAGAGGGGAGCCCCGAAGAGCAGGTAACCCTACAGACTTAGGCCTCGTCCTTAGGTCACCATCCACAGGCTCTCAATGTTTCCTGGCACCCCAGTGTTGCTGGGTAATAGAGTCGCTATGGCTTCCCCAACCTGGGTCTCTGTCCTGTGCCCGCCCATTCATGGACCCGCACTCTGGAGAGGGCAATATTCCCTTGAGCCTCGAACTCTTCTGCTGAGTGCTGTTGTTCTCTTTCACTCTTTCTGAATCTGTCTTCTGCTGAGCCTGCCAGCCATAGTCTTGTGCCTACCTGAAGCTGGAGCTGGTCTCCAGTTCTAGGGCATAGGAATGCAGGGTTTTTTTTTTTTTCAGGAGGCTCTGACTTTCAAGGATGTGGCAGTGACCTTCTCCCAGGATGAGTGGGGGTGGCTGAGCCCAGCCCAGAGGAACCTGTACAAAGATGTGATGCTGGAGAATTATAGGAATGTGACTCCTTTGGGTAAGGAATCAGTATGCTCTTCCTTCAACCTTCCTTTAAAGTAATGTGTACCGGGGGTGGAGAGACAGCTGGCACAGTGGGTAAGGCGCTTGCCTTGCTGCTTACCTTGCATACAGCTGACCTAGATTGCATCCCTGCACCCCATATGGTCCCCAGTGCTGGTCAGGAGTGATCCGAGTGCAGTCGTGAGTAACTCCTGAGCATAGCTGAGTATGGCCCCCCAAACAAAAAATTAAAGTAATAGGTGTCCCTAGAGTGTTGGCTGGTTCAACAGATTTATCTCATGTTTCCACCTCTAGAGAATCCTCCTGATCCTTTGGAGCTTGACTTCGCTTAACCTCTCTCCTCTCTGCTCTGGGCGCTTAGACATGGCCATCTGGGTCTCCAGCTCTAACTTTCTCCACCTGCCTCCTTCCTACATGGACGTCAGGCCTGAGCGGGTCCTAGAGAGAAGTTCTGTATGAGTCCTCTGTCTCCCTGTCTCAGCTTATTTCTTCTTTTCCGCAGTGGGACCATGCACCAAGCCTGCTCTCATCTCCTGGTTGGAAGCAAGAGAGCCATGGGGCCTGAATGCCCCCGTTGCTCAGCCGAATCAGCCGAAGGACAGTCCAGCTACTCCCTCTGCAGGTGAGTTCCAGAGAACCTACCAGGTTCCCTTTCAAGTGTGTCATACCAAGTCACCAGGACCTGATTTCACTGTTCGCTAGAAGAAAGTATTTAACAGTGTTGCTAACCAATTCTGTGCCTCTGGGCTTCTCCCTTCCATCCTGGTCTATTAGATGTACATTTCTGGCCCAGCCTTTTCCCAACAGCTCCCTTTAGTCACTGATTTTGATCCTGTCTGTGCCTTCAGACTGGTAGCCATCTTCTGACCAATAGTTAAAAACCCACTCAGAACTGAATGAGGTAGACCACTGGTTTTCAGCCTTTTCACGGGTTACACTTGTCACCCAGTACTGGCCTACAGATTAGTAGGTGAAATTGCTGTGTTAGGTAATAGGTCTCCCCACTGCTGATTCCACTGTTCCTTCCTTCCCTATTCATCAGTGCTCCTCTTCAGCCCTGTGCCGTGCTCCCACCGAGTTCCCCAGGTCTGCTGCTGCTTTGTGCTCTCAGTAGGCCTTGTCATACTCTGTCCTCTTCTTTGTGGGGTCCATTCCCCCCCCCCACTTTCGCCCAGCTCTCCCAGAGCTCCGCTCTCAGCTCTCGGGAGCCTGCCTGTCAGGCTCTATGCCCAACTTCTCTCCCCTCTCTCACTACCTCGCATCCCCTCTCCATTCTTTTTATTGTTACTCGATGGGATTTCTGTGTTTGTAAAGCTGCTGGGGTGTTCCTGCTTTTCCTCCTGGGATACTCCTTGTGTTTTGCTTCACCACCCAGTTTCCTGGCTTTGTTGTTGTTGTTGTTGTTCCTACTTTCAGCTTCAAGTATAGAAAAGAGCAGAGCCTCTTGTGTTTTATTTTGTACCAGGTGAGCTTCAGATCGAAGACAAGCCTGTCTTAAAGCATGCACCTGTGGAAGAAGCAGAAGCACCAGGGGTGCCATCAAGATGTCCTGCAGCAAGAATTTCTGATGGGAAAGGACTCGCAGTGTCTTTTGACCAGAAAAGGAGATTAAAGGAGCCAGGCGAAAACCATATTCAGGTGAGCGTCAAGAGAGAAGATGCCGGTTTCAGCCAGGAGGCAGGAAAAGAAGCTGAAGAATTAGGAATAAGCAATAATCTTAATCTGAAATATGTTACATATGTGAGAGTTCCCAGAAGAAAGAGATCCCTCAAGCATGGTTTGAGCGGCAGGCACTTCAGAGGGGGTCCGTACCACTACGACCACAAGGAGTTTGGGAAAGGGTTTCGACGCATGATTGGCACTTTCAGCCTACACCCGAGAATCCATGCTGGCCTGAAAGGGAATGCAAAGGATGCGTGTGGGAAAAACTTCAGCCTTAGTGCTCATCACCAGCTCGGGCAGACACTGCACAGAATGGGGACATTGTATAAGTGCAGTGATTGCGGCAGGACTTTCAGCTGTAGCTCCTACCTCGCTTGCCACCAGCGACTCCACACTCAAGAGAAACCCTTTAAATGTAGGGTGTGTGGAAAAGCCTTCAGGTGGAGCTCAAACTGTGTGCGGCACGAGAAAATCCACACTGGAGTCAAACCTTATAAGTGCAGTTTCTGTGACAAGGCGTTCCAACGCTTGTCTGCCTATCGCCTGCACCAGGAAACCCATGCCAAGCAGAAATTTCTAGACTGCACTCAGTATGAGGACGCTCTCACCTATGGTCCATTGTTTCTTCATCATTTGAGGGACCAGACTGGGGAGAAACTCTTTGACTGTAACCAGTGTAGAAAGTCCTTTCACTGTAAGTCCTATGTACTTGAACATCAAAGGATCCACACCCAGGAAAAGCCCTATAAATGTTCCAAGTGTAGGAAAACCTTTCGGTGGAGGTCAAACTTTACTCGTCACATGAGACTACACCACGAAGAAAAGTTCTATCAAGACCAGGAGCCCCACAGAGAAGAACAGTTGCATCCGGATCAAGAGGAGTATAGCGAAGACTTCCGGCAGCCCTCCAACTACAGCCAGCCCCAGACTGCGCCCACGGAGGACAAAGCTTTTCTGTGTCAGCAGTGTGGGAAAACTTTTATTCGAAAGAAGTCTCTTATTAATCATCAGAAAACTCACACAGGTGAGAAATCATACCAGTGTGGTGAATGTCCAAAGGAGTTCACTCATCGGTCAGCGTTTGTTTTTCACAAGAAGCAGCACGCCACGGAAAGGAAATCGGAGGACGAGCCGTCGTTCAGTCAGGACACAGCATTCCAAGCTCCTCAGAGCAGTCACGCCACAGAGGAACCCTACAAATGTGGCCAGTGTGGCAAGGCCTTTCGTAACCACTCGTTCCTTCTTATCCATCAGCGAATCCATACCAGGGAGAAGCCATATAAATGCAGGGAGTGTGGGAAAACTTTCAGATGGAGCTCTAACCTTTCTAGACATCAGAGGATCCACACTTTGAAAAAACAGTACGAATACCATGAAAGTGAAAATCTGACCAGCATGCAGCCGCAAATCTCCTCTGATGGAAAACCCTTCTGGTGCCAAGAGTGTGGCAAATCCTTCACCCGGAAGAGATCTCTTTTAGACCATAAGGGAATACACAGTGGAGAGAAACGCTACAAGTGTAACCTGTGTGGGAAATCCTACGACAGAAATTACCGCCTTGTTAACCATCAGAGAATCCACACGAAAGAGAGACCATTCAAATGCCAGTGGTGTGGGAAAGATTTCATCGGGAGACATACCCTCAACATTCATCAGAGAAAGCATACGCGAGTGATGCAGGATGAATGTGACCTGCTTGGGTTGTCGTCCTCGCAGGACACGGGATTGAGTTTACAAGAGTTCAAGCCAAGTGGGGAGAAACCCCTCGAAGCTTGCGAGGAGAGTTGTGAGCAGAGCCCCGTACTCCCCGAACTCCAGGGCATGTCCCCCGGGAAGAAGTGCCACAAGTGTAGCACGTGTGGGAAAACGTTTGAGAAGAGCTCACAACTCACAAGCCACAAGAGATTCCACACTCGAGAGAGGCCCTTCAAATGCAGGGAGTGTGGGAAGACCTTCAGGTGGTCTTCCAATTTGGCGCGGCACATGAAGAACCACATCAGAGATTAGGCTGGAATGGGACTGTGGAGGATGGGCACCTTGCTGCTGTCCCAGGGGAAGAACGCAGAAAACTCGTCTGAATGTGGAGGATTGAAGAACTCGGGGTGCCGTCTGGCCTGGCCTTTGGGAAGGGAGATTCTGGGGCAGGGTCAGAACAGTTCTCCGAGCCCTCGTGGTGCCCCCTCTGGAGCCAGATCTCCTTTGGGAACTCTGAAGGCAGGAACCGTTGCCTTCTCTGGTGGGACTAACTGGCTGCTGGGAGGGGCCAGAGGGATCTTGAGTTGCTCTTCGGATGGGGCCTGTGGTATTTCCGTCGGACCGTTTAAACAGCAGCAGTGACCGTTCCCGGGTACCCAGGTGCCTCCTGGGGAGTCCCAGTGGCATGAAGTTTGTAACCTGCGCTGCCAGCTCTCCCATCTGCCATCAGTAGTAGAGCTGGATCGAGCAGCGAGTGAGGGAGGGCAGAGTGCTTGGCTCCATTGCCCGGGAACCTCAGAGCTTGGGCAGGACCAGCCCACAGGTGTGGTGGCAGCAGTGGTCTGGAGTCCCCACTGAGTACTCCTGTGTGCCAGGCACTATGGCAGCAGTGACTGGAGCAGGAAATTTTATGTATGTTGTCTTTGGTATCTTGTATCTTCACAGTTATAAACAGATGGACCAATGAAATGTTGGGTATTTGGGGTGGCCCTGTGTATTGCAGATGAAATAATTCAGAGCAGAGGCCTTTCGGGCCAGGTGCTGGAGATGGAATCTGGACCAATCGCCTCCGGGAATGTCAGGTAGGCTCTGCGCCCAGCATGGACAGAGCCATCTGTGAGAGCGGGCTCTCAGGGACTGTGGATGGTTCCACACAGCATTGGGGTCCTCGCTGTGACTGAGCTAACCTTTCTCTGTGGGAGAGCTGGAGCTTTGCGGCCGTTTTGACTTGAGGCACCATATGGCCTAAATCTGAGGCGCATTTTCACGGGTGAATCACAGACCTCAGAACTCGAGGAAATGGCAGAGCAGAAATTTTGTGCAGTTGTCATTCCAATTTCCGTGAATGGGGCACCCTCCCCCCAGCCTGAATTTTCCGAGGCCTCATGTCGCCTATGGTTGTGAGCTGGGGCACGTCTGTGGTGCAGGCCGTTTTTTCTACACCTGGAAACGCCCTTCCGTTTTCGTCCAGTGCTGGTACTCTCGTTCATTCTGACGTCTGTGGGCACTGGAAGATTGGAGCTGTGTGTGAGGTCCCACGGGGTGGCCAGGAGTGAGGTGCTGGGACAGGCATCTCTTGCAGCTCCTTTGGTGCCCACTCACCTTTGTTCTTGGGACATTTTGGTCCCTTGGGGTCTGCTACACCTTTGCCTGCACTCAGCTGTAACTGCCCACTATCTGTGGTCGGGCACACTGCCCCCACTGGCACTACAGGTGACAGGGTATGGAGTGGAGCCCTGCATCCTGGGAGGGACCTCAAAGGATGTGGATCTGGGTCCGAGGCTTGAGCATGCCCATCTCGGCAGGGAGATCTTGGGGATGCTACGGGCCCTCTTTTTGTGTTTTCCCGGTGTGAGATGAGGATGTCTGGCTGTGCTCTGACTCCAAGGGTTAGAGAGTGCAGGTCCAAGCTGAGGTTGTGGGTGGAGGTTCCTGTTGGGGACTAGAGCCCTCATGGGCTGCGGCTGTCACAGCGGGCAGGGCCCAACCAAGGGGATGACCATTTTCCTGTCCTCGTGTTTCACCACTCCTTGTGGTGCCTGGTACCTCATAGAGTTTCTGCCTCAATAGGGGTTTTTAACTGCCATTTTTATAAAATGAGATATACTTATTTTTAGACATTCAAATCAAAATTTAAGGTGTAATGAAAAGTGAAATGGAATTTTCCTTTATACTGAGGTAAACCATTAGTATTTTGGGATTGCACTGCACGGTCTGTTCAGTGACTCGAGCTTTTTAATTGTGTAAATTAGCAAATGATTATAGAAACACAGCAAACCCAGATTAGCTGGAAGGGGAAGTCTGGCTCATGGGAGTTGACCTCTCCCTCTGGGGACAGGTCAGTGCTGGATCTGACCTGCTTGCCTCACAGGGCTGCCCCTGGCACTGTCCCTTGGCTGGGAGGCCGGACTACAGTCTGTGCTGGCATGGGGCCTGCCTTTCTCACAGCCAGTTTTTCGGGGCCCACAGCCCTCCTTGACCCCTCCCCTGGCCCACTTCTCACAGTCCCATGTTTGCTTCATTAGGTATTATCTGGGCTCCAGATCCTGTGATTACTGCTGCAATCACTTAAGATGAGCACCCAGAGGCCAGAGCCGGGTGCTTATCTGAGGTTCCCGCCAAGGCCCTGGAGAGACGTGTTCCCTGGAAACCACCCCCAAGCACTCCTGCTGATGGGGAACCCGACTGCCAGTAGGTGGGGGCTCTCTGGCCCCTTCCCAGCCGGTTTGGAGAACTTGAAGTGGTCCTCACTTTCCTGCCTCATACCAACTTCTGTTCTTTCGGAAGAGCAGAGGTCAGGTCTGTGGGCTGCCCAGATGGCCGTGACATCCCCAAAAGGGGACTCAGAGTTTGGGTCTTCTGGCCTGTGCCATCAGCCTTCCTTGTTGAGGGTGGAGGCTGGGCGGCTGGGACGGTAAATGATCTGGATCATCTCATTCAAGTTGGCAAAGATTCACCATTCCTGGGGCTGGAGCAATAATATAGCGGGTAGGGTGTTTGTCTTGCACGAGGCTGACCCAGGTTCGATTCCTAGCATCCCATATGGTCCCCTGAGTATGGCCAGGAGTAATTTCTGAGTGCAGAGCCAAGAGTAACCCCTGAGCATATTGCCGGGTGTGACCCAAAAAGAAAAAGATTTACTGTCCCTAGTTGGGGAAGGGTGTGGAGCAGGGAAGCAAAGTCATGGCTGCGTGGCCACGCAAAGTCTCAGCCTAAAGCTGGTGTCTTCTGCCGCCCAGCACTTCTACTCCTGCATAGACCCTGGAACAGCTTCATGTGAAGAAGGAAATGTCCGTGTCAGTATTGTTGGCATTATTGTTTAGGTAGCAAGTGGGGGTGGGGGGAAAGCCTTAAAATTTAAAAGAAAAAAAAGTCCAGCAGTGGAAGAACAGATGAAAGGGTTGTTTTGGGGACTTTGGGTCGTGAATCGCAGAGTCAGGGCTCTGTCTTCAATTTAGGTAAATGCTGTGCTGAGGAAGTTACAGAAGGCACATACAGTATGCCACTTATGTAAAGTCAGAAGTCCTGTTTGTGTGGGCACATTGTTCCGACTTTGTAGTGTTTCACTTTTTCTATAAAATGAAATTGTATTATTAACTTCACAGGGAGACTGCGGCCAGGATAATGCATGTAAAGTACTTAGAATAGTTTGTCAGCATTGAGCTTTGCTGGCATCAGTAAGCAGTGTTGTTTTGCATAATATATTTTCTGTGGATTCAGATTATATGAAGTAAAAGTATAAAACTGTGTATTGTGGTATGTGATGGTCACACACTGCCTTCCCGGGGCAGGAGCTGCTGATGGACTTGGGGAAACCGGCACCTGGAGTCCTCAGCCATCTTCCTTGTTTTTAAAAGTTGGTGAAGATGGGGCCAGCATGTTGACTTGATGAGATTGTGTGGTGGGTTCTTAACTGTTTGCCTAAGATATTTAAATAAAAATATTTTAAAGCATGGATCCTGTCAACTTAGGATTTTGTGGACACCCTGTTTCCCCCCAGTTATTCCATCTCTCACAGCTTCAGGTTCCTCACCATCAAAAATAGGAAGCAGCACCAATGGCCATTTGTGAAGAAACTTGAACTGCCACATGAGTCTGGAGTGGTGCATGCACGGTGAGCAAGGAGTTAGGCTGTGCTCGAGCTGATCTGTGCAGCTTCAGTTCTAGGACATTAGACTGTTCTATTTCCTGTTACTCCTTGCCTGGAAATGACTACATGAAGGCAGGAATTATAGACTCCAAGTTTTAAGAAAATGGAACTCGGGGCTCCCGATGCTTAGTCATCTCATTTTAATAGGTAGCTGAAGGAAAATGAGTAGATACGGGTTTTTTTGTCTGATTATTTGTTTGTGTTTTGGGGCCACACCAATGGTGCTCAGTTTATTCGTGACTGCACACAGAGATCACTCCTGGTAGGCATGGGGCTGTTGGGGGGGCCAGGGATTGAACCTGGCTGGCAGTACACAAGACATGCATCCCACCCACTGTACTGTTTCCCTGGCTTCACAAGTGTTTTATGCAAGCTACAACACCTTTTAAGTAAGTGCTAACCCCACTAAGAACACCAAACAGGTTTTTTTTTTTATTAAAAATTTTTTTTAATAGTGAGACATCATGAGGTACAGTTGCAGACTTACACATTTTTGTGCTTGGGTTTCAATTATATAATGATCAAATACCATCCCTCCACCAGTGCCCACTTCCCACTACCATGCATCCCAGTATCCCTCCCACCCCCCATCCCCCCCATCCCACCCTGGCTCTGTGGCAGGGCATTCCCCTCTGTTCTCTCTCTCCTTTTGGGTGTTGTGGTTTGCAAAAGAAACATTGAGTGGCAATCATGTTTGGTCTATAGTCTACTTTCAGCATGCATCTCCCATCCTGGGAGGATCCTCCCAACACCTTTATTTGGTGTTCCCCTCTTTATCTGAGCTCCCTTTTCCTCTAGTATGTGTGGTTGACCTCCAAGTCATGGAGTAAAATTCCTGGTACTAATCTCAGCCATTCTTGGGTGTTAGTTTCCTATTTTGTTACTTTATGTTCCCCAGATGAATGCAGTCTTTCTATGTCTATCCCTTTCTTTCTGAGTCATTTCGCTTAACATGATATTTTCCATGTAGTACCACTTGTATGTGAATTTCGTGACTTCGTCTTTTCTAACAGCTACATAGTACTCCATTGTGTAAATGTACCAAAGTTTCTTTAACCAGTCATCTGTTCTCGGACACTCAGGTTTTTTCCAGATTCTGGCTATTGTAAAGAGTGCTGCAATAAACAGGCAATTGCAGATGTCACTTTGACTATACTTTTTTGCCTCTC